GAAAAGCACAGGGAAATTGATTAGAAATGAGCAAGAAAATAAGCCTTTAGAGGTGTCATCAAGGTACTCTACAGTGAGTTCTGAAAGGAAACAAATTAAAAGTAAGTGGGATTGTATTTTAGATCCTGCTGCAAATTCACTGGAAATCCACCAGATGGCACAAGAAAATGCATTGTGAACAAACTTGGACAGGTTGGTGCAGGTGGCAAATGGGATTGGTGAGAAACTAGGACTCAAGAAAACAAAGGTGCTCTCCAGACTGATTCTGGGTGGGTGTGTTCTAATTCCAGGCTAGCCATGGACCTCAAGGGCATGATTTTGTCATGTCAGCCGGGTGATGCCAGGGATCACCGAGTAGTGCCGACAATCGTAAACACGGAATTATCTATATATCACAGCCTCTGCATGAATGGCTTATTGAACGCTCCCTTCCTTAACAGAAAATTCTCTTTTCTTTTCTTCCCCCTTAATCCATACTTAATGCTTTATGAAAAGAGGTATTTGTTTCTTGGTAAGCCACGTTTCTTTAATTAAAGGAGGAGGGTTGGGAGAGATCCACTGGAAAAAGAGAAAATTCTGGTTTCACAATATGCACTATTTATGAGGGTGCTTTGCTGTCGAAACCTATTAGGGGCCAGCCCAACCTAGTTTGCCTCTTGCCCTCCCAGGAGACAATTACTGTCCAGCATAACAATTTGAAGCAAATATCGGATGTGGTCGAAAGAACAGTTGTGGCCCCCTCTCTCTAGCAACCGTTTCTGCTTAGATTTCTTAATTGTTTCCACCACTTCCTTTACTGGGCTTCTGGCCTTCTGGGTTCTGCAGAATCCTGAGCGTTCATAAAAGCCTCCCATTCTCTCTGGAATTCACATGTGCCAGCAGATACTTCCTGGACCCTGGAGCAGCAGCACCTAAGAGAAGTAGCTCCAGCCAAAGCCCTCCAGTGCACATGCACGTGCGAGCTTTTCCAAAGCCTGGACTTCTATTTGACCACCAGGAAGAAGGCCCGAGTGGTCCAAGCCGCTCCCTTACCTCCTCCTTCAGCCTAGCTTTCCCTCCCTCCACTCCCAGAGTTCTGGTTTGTTCTTAGCCCCTGCTGAGCGTATCTTTGCCAATGGCTTTCTTCTCTCACCTTCTGTAGGTCTGTTTCAGGTGTGGCCTTCCAGAAGATTTTGCATGATAAGATAGGACTTCAAGGAAAGGAACCAGACAGGAAGATTTTTCAATGGTACAGTTTTTAGCATTGAAATGCCCAGGTAGAGAGATATGTGAGGAAACATTGAGGGTTACTGGAGAAATCACCACCTTTTTCACTAAAATGAAGGACCAGTCCTCTTATCAATCTTGCCTCTGACCTGTGGGCCAAACGCTGGCACAGAGGGTGTTGGAGGCAGGCAGGGGCATGGGACCAGAAGTCCCAGGAGCAGGACCGCAGCCCTGTGACCTCCATTTAGTGAAAGACTGCATTCCCCCTCCCAAGCCTTCGTGTCTTCCTCTCTACGATGGGAACAGCAGCATCAGTCAGGTCCACCTCAAAGAACAGTTGTGAAGAGGGATACATTAATAATTGATTTAAAAGAGTTTTGAGGTTGATGAGATGTTTTGCATCCATGGAGTATTAAACAATAAAACCACAGCAGAGCTAGCGTATGTATTGGGAGTTATGTTGGTAAGAAATCACCGCTGTGGTGGGACCCAGGAAACACTTCCATGGCAGCTTTGGCTGAATGTGGGCTTAATGCAGGTGAGGCCATGTGCTGGGTAATTGAAATCACTACTATTCCTCCAATATGGTTTAAATGCAAAGAAAGTGCCTCTGCCCTAGGTAAAGAGCTGGCTGAGGCCAGCTGAGGCTTTTTACTGAACAAAGCCGGTGCAGGAGCTCAAACTTGTAATCCCAGCACTCAAGGGAGATGGGAGGATCACTCAAGCCCAGGAGTTTGAGACCAGTCTGGGAAACAGAGGGAGACATCAATTCTACACACACACACACACACACACACACACACACACACTAGCCTCGTGTGGTGGCACACACCTGTAGCCCCAGCTGCTGGGGAGGCTGAGGTGGGGAATCGCTTAATCCCAGGAGGCTGAAGCTGAGGCTGCAGTGAGCCATGATCATGACACTGCACTCCAATCTAGGCAGTAGTAAGTCCCTGTTTCTCTCTGTCTCTCTCTCTCTCTCTCTCTCTCTCTCTCCCTCCCTCTCTCTCTCTCTCTCTCTCTCTCTCTCTCTAGCTAGCTATTTATCTATACACATACAGACATGTGTATAATACGCACATACATAATATACATATATATGTGTGTGTATATACACATATATATTTCTCTATATATATGTTTATATCTATATTTGTATATATAAATATCATGTGAAATGTTGATAAAAGCATTGCATCAGCCCTTCTTGTCAATGAATGATAAATCAAATTCAAATACTTGTAATTCTCCATTTGTATCTTAATTCTGAGCATCTGCCAATTCTTATCCCATTCTTTGCTTTTCAAATAAACTTGCAAACGTAGTTGTTACCGAGTCTGGAATTGCACACATAATTCTCCCTAAAACCCTTCTGCCAGATTACCATTATGTAAACCACCTTCTTTATAGTCCTCCACAGTTTGCAACGGTATTACTTGAGTTTTTTTATTGGCGAGCTCCCCTACTTTTAGTGCTACAAGTCATATGCTACACATACATCTAAGCAGTGTTCGACCCATAGAGTATGAAGAACTTCCACAAATCACATCCATTACCCACAAAGCACTCTGTAATATAGATACCATCTCTCTTTATAAGTTCTGGGATACATGTGCAGAAGGTGCAGGTTTGTTACATAGGTATGCATGTCATGGTAGTTTGCCGCACTCATCAACCCGTCATCCAGGTTTTAAGCCCCACATGCATTAGCTATTTGTCCTAATGCTGTCCCTCCCTTAGCCCCCCACCCCTGACAGGCCCTGGTGTGCGATGTTCCCCTCCCTGTGTCCATCCATGTGTTCTCCCTGTTCAACTTTCACTTATGAGTGAGAACTTGCAGTGTTTGGTTTTCTGTTCCTGGATACCTCATCTCAAATGAAGAAACAGACTCAAAGGGTTGTGCCGATTTGTTCAAAGATGCAGTTTGTCAATTCAAAGTCCGAATTCAGACCTAGCCCTGTAAACTGTTCCTATTTTAGCAGCAGCAAGTAAGAAGCACCAACAGCGCAAGAAACATTGGAGCTTCTTGATGCCGAATGAAAGAAACAACAAGTGACAGTTGTCATGAATTTAGTCGTGACTCATTGGCTGCTCTACCCTAGCTTTTCTAAAATGTGTTGGAATGTGTAGCCCCTGAAACTCCACAGAAAAAGAGGCTTCTTTATCCAAACATATTTGGAAAACGCTGCATATTACACTCCCCCTCCTCCCCTACAATGTGCACAGTAGCATCGTAAAGGCCCTGAGAAGTCCTCCACTCAAGAAATCTGTTTTACCTTGTTTGACCCCATATTTCCCAAGCTTATTTGGGCACAGACTTCTTTATATAACATCTATTAAATCTATTAAAATCCTGCAGAATTAGTGTGCCATGCAGGGAATACACTTTTGGAGAAGTGTATAAAAATGATTTGAGGGAAGTTGAGAAAGTCAGAGAAGGTAATCGAAGAGGATTTAAACTAGTCAAGAAAAAGTGTGTGAGAAAAACAGCAGCATGGTTGAAGGCTACCCCTCAGGAGCCTGTGAGCTTGCTGCTGCTGCGTGTGCCCTGCCTCTGACAGCGCTTCATCCAGGCACTGACCCAACTCTGCGCCTCAGCTTCCCCATTTCTAAACCAAAGGGGTTTGCTGGGATTTCTCTAAAGCTATTTCCCTCCCAAATTGTCAGTTACATTTTCCCCAGAAGATCCTGAAACTAATTCCGTGAACATTTTTTTTTTGCAAACTTTTACTTTGATATAACTTGAAATATACAGAAACTTATAAAAAGGACACATGAGAAATGTTCTTTCCTCCGATTCATCCCCTGTGTATATTTTGCCCTATTTGTTTTCTAGTTCTCCCTCCATCTCCCTCCTTCTTTCTCCTCCCACCATCACATTCTCCTATTCTCTCTCATATTCTTTTTCTCTGAACCACTTGAGAGTAGGTTGGAGACATCATCCCCCTTTTACCCCAATACTTCAGGGTGAATTTTCTAAGAATTAGCACATTCTCTTATCTATCCACAGTATCATTATCAAAATCAGCTACTTAACTTTGATACAATACCACCATGTAATTCATAGTCAATAATCAAGTTTTATCAATTTTCTTTGTATCTTTATAGCTACTATTCCTCCCCCAAACTTCACTAACTCTATATAGAGGGCAAGGTTAAGTCAATGTTAAAATCATTTGTCCACCTAAATAAATAAATGGAGAATCCCATTTGCTTTCTTCTCTTGTTTCAGCACTGGATTAATGGGTGGAAGAGACAGACAGGAGAGGAGTTAAACTGTCCGAAAAGTATTAGTCAATAAACTTTGGCTTTGGTGTGTCTGTTGACCTGTCCAAGAACAAATGCCAGCTGGGGACGCTGGCTCATGCCTGTAATCCCAACACATGGAGGCTGAGGCAAGCTGATCACCTGAGGTCAGGAGTTCAAGACCAGCCTGACCAACATGGAGAAACCCAGTCTCTACTAAAAATACAAAACTGGCCAGGCATGATGGTGCATGTGTGTAATCCCCGCTACTCAAGAGGCTAAGGCAGGAGACTTGAACCCGGGAGGTGGAGATTGCAGTGAGACAAGATTGTGCCATTGCCCTCCAGCCTGGGCAACAAGAGCAAAACTCTGTCTCAAGAAAAAAGAACAAATGCCTCCATGCATATTAATTCTTTTACTGAAAGTCTTTGAGGTTTACAATGAGAAAAAAAAAAAAACTGGTTCAATGTGAAATCGGCACTTTTGAAAAAAAAAATTTGTCACTCCTTTTATTTATTCTCACTGTGCATATATATTTCCTTAACTAGATTATAAGTGCCTGTGAGTGACAGCTGGCTGATTCAGAGCACAGTGAGAGACCTGGCTTGGTTAGAGAAGGTTTATACAAGAAAAGAGCAAGGAGTGTTTGGAAAGGTAGGTTTGGCACAACCTTGAATACTTAAATACATCGCTTAGGATTTTCTTTTAAATTACATCTTCTCTTCTTTCCTAGAGAGAAAGATTGCATCATAATCTTCCAGCAGTGGAGGGCAGATGAAAGAGAACAGACTTTGAAGTCCTCGGAATCAAGTCAGCTTCGCTGCTTATTACTGAGCATGTTCTTTAACCCCTCTGGATCTCATTTTAAAAGTATGGACCTTAAGAAAGTGGACTGAGAGATGGGCTCCCACGAGCTAACATGTATAAAATGCCAGTCCTTTCTCTTCCCACCTGTGTATATCTCATATCCTTAAATATTCTCATTTGTTAAATGTTAAACATCTAAATCAACTCCTCACAAGAATTGAACATTTACCTGGGACCTACACCTTTGGGCGAAGGAATCACAGAAATAGGAATACGGTAATGCTGCAAACACCTTCATAAAGGCGGTTTTGATATTTCAGCCTGGATCGTACTGATTGCTTCCTCTGGATTGTTTCCATCGCTTCCCTCTTACGTGTGTTTGGTTTGTCATCTTCACTCTTTCCCCTAGATTTCTCCATTCTGATTGGACACTTCTAATACCACAATCTGGCTTTCACAATAAAGTTCCAACTGCAGGTGCTCAAAACATGAAGCCCAAGGTCTCTTTCCTTCCTTGAGGAGAAAGATGGGGTCAGCTCCTTGGAGGAAGTTTGTTGAAAGATGTGTATGTTTGTGTGGTTTGGAAACCTCCCTTTTCTTTCTCCAACTTTTGGAGAAACTTTGACTCTCCTTGGAAACCCATGTGGGAGGAAGGTTTTGGCTAAGTCGAGTGTCTGTGGGAGACCCTACTTTTCTGGAGCCAGTGCTGAGACTGGAGTTCAAAGGGGAGCTCTATTTCAGGAGTCCCCAAACATGCTGTGTATTTGGCCCTGGAATATAAATTCCAAAAGGCAAATGTAGCCACTATTTGCATCCTTCTTTTAAAAAGCAAGCGGTGGATGTACAGCCAGCATTAGGCAACAAATATCAAATATATTCAAGTCCATCATCAGTAGGCAAATGTTAGTTGCTGTAGAGAGAACCTAATTGATTGCTTTGAGCCATTCTTTTGGCTTTGGGTGAGTGGTTAAATAAGAAAAGGAGGCGGGGGTTAAAAACAAGATGAAACAAAAATGATGAATGGAAACCATTTTCTTTTAAGGGGGCTGTCAAGTGAAGCAGTGATTCCCTTACAACCCCCCTTTCACCCAACCAAGTTTAGACTTGCTTGACACAATGACTGGCATTTCCGCTCTCAGGTACGAATACTCCAAGAAAGAAGCTTGCTCGTGCAGCTGTGTTTTTATGGACTTGTGTGATATGCCTGATGAATTGAGTTAATTCATTTGTTAACTTAACTGGCAAGATTTAATGGTTCACATTGAAAGCATGAATAACCATTTTGTTCCTTGAACGACTCTAGTTTAATGCCTCCTGATGTCAGTGTATTTTGCCCAGGGTAAAACTTGCTGTATGAATTATTCACTGCTGGATGGAATGAATGGGGCCATGTTTGCCCACAGAATGTTAGCTGCAGTTATCTGATATGATGGGGCACAGTGGATGCATACAAAGGACAATGGACAATTTAGAATGTGGTTTTAGGGCTCAGCCATTGCAGTGAAGATCTTTGTAGAAAGCGTAGCACCTTTTTGTCTTGTGCCACACATCATGGGAGTCTCCATGAGCCAAGAAACTCCTGGTCTTTGAAAAACAAAAAGCAAATTGTGGTTCAGAAGTGGGCACCTTTGTCTTCGGTTAAACCTTTGGTGGGAGGTGGAGGGCAATAGGGGGTAGAAATACATTTAAGAATTTTTTAGAAAGAAAGAGATTAGGATTTTTTATCATTGTGGCTTCACTGATGTGAGATGAAATGTTTTTGGTGAAGGAGAAGCAATGAGGATTCTTAATCTTGATTTAGAATCAAGAAAGATGTGGGTCCTTTCTGTTTAGGAGCATTTGGGGTGAGTTACCTCCCGGCTAGAGTGCCCAACTTCACCACTGAAATGCCTCTGGTTTAATAAGAATGATTTATATTCTGAAGACACAGTTAATGTAACAGTGGGAGCTGATAAATGAACCACTGAGTTTACTTATACAAATAAATGTGGCATTAATCTTGACTTTGAATTTCCTCATTGGGTTTTCTTCATAACCATTTATGATATTAAGAATGACAAGATGAAATGATTGGCAAGTTTTAATGGTTGGCAAACTTTTCTAATTGTCTTTAAACTTTATAAACAAGACAAATAAGCCTTGAGATTGAAATATGAATTAAACTGCTCCATCCTTTTAGTGTTTACAGCTTAGTGGTAGGCAACTTGGTAAGTTAACACTTGCATTCAAAAGGCAGGGTGAGGCACAACTGAAATCCCAGCTGAGCTCTGAGTCTTTCTATAGTAGAGCTGGGCAATGCCACTAGGGTCTTGCTAGCATCTGTTTGCTAAGTACAGATCCAATGGAGAGGTGCCTACCTCTGATTTACTGTAGCCAAGAGGTATGGTACAAACATGGCAGCAGGCTCCCATTCCTGTTGTGGACAGTTAATTCTCAGAGAAAGGAGATCCCAGTCTAGGATGGCACCTGTGGTAGGCTGACTGCCCCCCTCCCCAAGACATCCATGTCCTAATTCCTAGAACCCGTGAATGTTACCTTGTAGGTCGAAAGGGACTTGCAGATGTGAATACATTAAGAATCTTGACATGGGGAGATTATCTTGCATTATCTGGATGGGCACTATATTTAATCACAAGGGTCTTTATGTGATGGAGGCAGGAAGGTCAAAGGAACATACAGGAAATGGGCTGACAGAAGCTGAAGTGATGAAAGGAAGTGCTCACAAGCCAAGGAATGCAGGTAGACTCCAGAATCCAGAAAAGGCAAGGAAATGGACTTTCCCTAAGAGGACGCAGAAAGAACCAGCTCTGCCAACCCTGGTTCTACCCCTACTTTAGTCCAGTGAAATGATTTGGGACTAGGGCCTCCAGAACTGTAAGATAATGAATTTATATTGTTGTAAGCTATTGTTTGTGGTAATTTGTTAGCAGTGTTTACAATAGCAACAGAGGAAACTAATATGACATCCAAATTGTCCCTCTTTGAGAGTATTATAAATATCTTGAAAAGATTTCTATTTTCCTTCATCCTCACCCTCACGTAAGTCTCAAAGCCTAATGTCATGGTGTCATCTATAAAGTTGTTAGTTCACTGTAAAAGAACTGTTGAAACATAAATCATTGTGGCCGGGCACTGTGGCTCACACCTATAGTCCCAGTACTTCGGGAGGTTGAGGCGGGCAGATCACTTGAGATCAGAAGTTCGAGACCAGCCTGGCCAACACAGTGAAACCCTGTCTCTACCAAAAATACAAAAACATTAGCCGGGCGTAATGACAGGCATCTGTAATCCCAGCTACTCAGGGGACTGAGGCACAAGAATTGCTTGAACCTGGGAGGTGGAGGTTGCAGTGAGCTGAGATTGCACCACTGCACACACACACACACACACACACACACACACATATATAGAAAGAGTGCAGTGGTGCGAGAGAGAAAGTGCAGTGCATATATATATATATATATATATATGTAGAGAGAGAGAGAGAAAGAGAGAGGAAGAGACCATAATATCACTTCATCTGAATCAGAAGACTCTGTATTGTGGAAATACTGAATGCAACAGGGAGGGCTATGTTTCCAAAGGGAAGTAAAGCCTTCCACTTTGCATATGGTAAAGCTCAAGCAAGGACAAATAAATGCATGGAAAAACAGGGGGGAAAGCCATTGAAAATTAACAAGTAACTCAACTGTTTCTGTTTAATGTTAAATGAGTTTCAGTATTAAAATTCATTGTAAGACATAGTATTAATAAATGGGAAAATCAGTGTTTGGATTCTAAATTAGCCTTTGTTTTCATTTCACCATGGCTATGGCTTCTTCTGTCCCAGTGCCCTTGCACATGCTCTTCCCTCTGTCTGAGGTTCTTCCTCCTCCTGTCTTTGCCTATTGGATGCCTACAGATCTCACTGTAATGTTCCTTCCTCATGGAAGCACTCCCTGACCATCCAACTAGATTAGATTCCCATTGTAGGATCTCTTAACACCTGATGGGAAGAAAAAAAAGAATTTAAAACACCTTTTTGAGAAAGAAAAATATGACATAAAAATTAGTCCCCCTATAAGAAGGAAATCAATTTTGATTAAAGGAAAATGATGAAGCACATCAATGGGAACTAAAAATATTTTGCTTTTCAGAAACTTTGCTATAAAATGCTGATAGGAAAGCTAAATTACAACTTAGTTGAGCTAAACCAAGAGCCTTGTTTAGGTGACTCAGTGACCGAGCAAAAGTCCTGAGTATGATCAACTGTGATACGCTCTACTCTGTAGCATCCAAAGTTATTATACAACTTTGAGCTAAAACTTGCGTTTAACTGAAGAGGGAGACCCAGGCTTCTCAGATCAACTTCCCCTTTGGCTATCATGCTGCATTTCAATAGAAGAAAAGGTTGACGACTGGCGCCTCTGATTTTACCTTCCTATAAGTGACAGGCTAGGCCTTGGGGAAACTCTCCAGAAGGCACTATTTTTACTTAAAACAAGATCAAACCAGCAACCTTTTCACATGTGAGTCCTAAAACTGTAAACCAGACCCTTTCATATGTGATTCCTGAAACTGTAAACCAAAACCTTTTCACATGTGAGTCCTAAAACTATGAACCTAAGATTCTTCCATGTGTAACATCTAAAGTATAAGCCTATGTAAAGGCTGAACCTCCCTTTGTTGGGGGAGCTCAGCTGTTAGGCCACTATGCCACCTTGCTCCCAGCTGAATCAACCTTCCTCCTGTATTTGGTGTCCAAGAGATCCATTTCCTGTGGCCGCTCCTGCTACATAACCACCTGACATTTAAACCTCAATGTTTTGATAACTATGGAAAACCATCATGGCTGGTGAAGATAATGACTGTTCATGAATTATACCTGTTGTTAATCACTTTAGCTGTAACTGAACTTAAAAAATGAACTCCCTTAGGTTTTAAAAATATTCTCTCTTCCATAGCCTGCCTGTTTATTCTGCCACACAAGTGATTTAAAAAAATAGTTCTATTGAGATAGAATTCATATGCTGTACAATTCAATCATTTAAAGTGTACAATAAAATGTCTTTGAGTATATCCAGAGTTGTGCACCCATCACCACAATCAGCTTTAGAACATCTCCATTATCTACACAAGAAACCCCACCTCCCTAGCTGCCACCCCCAACAGAATTTCCATACATCCTGCCCTAATTGGCTTTCTGTCTTGTTTACTCTGAACTTGTTTATCCTGGGCATTTTATATAAATGGAAACATATGTTATGGGGTGCCCTATAACTGATCTCTTTCACATAACATAATGTTCTCAAGGTTCATCCATGTTTTATCATTAATTGACACTTCATTCTTTTTTTTTTTTTTTTTTTGACATGGAGTTTTGCTCTTGTTGCCCAGGCTGGAGTGCAGTGGCACGACCTGGGCTCACTGCAACCGCCACCTCCTGGGTTCAAGCAGTTCTTCTGCCTCAGCCACCCGAGTAACTGGGATTCCAGCACCTGCCACCAT